CACTGCTGTTCGCATTATTTTGGTTTTTTCGTTATTATCTTCAAATGGTGTATCAATGCGAGTCTATCTACTTAGAATTGCTTATTGAGTAATGAAACAGATCGACGATTTCACATTTACCTTCATTTACAATCATACATCTGGCAACAATAACTCTCAAGATATATTTATTTAGTCATTCGACTGAGTAATTATGGTAAGATATTTTTCGATGGAGACGGTCTTATACGATCTTCTATCATTGGACACAAATCAAGTTTAAGGAAATCGACCTCCATCATCATCAACGACGACCTTTCTTTTCATATTATAGATTTTTTCGAAAAGATCGGTCTTATTGAGCATTCGCTCTTCTTCACAGTCATCGTCAATGTTTGAACAAAGAAAATTTGTTTATTATAAATATGGTTTAATCGTATTTTCAACTTTATTTGATGACAGAGATGTGTTTAGATTGTTATTTTATACATGACTGATAATAATGTCGACCATATTTATTTTGATCAATAGAATACATATTTCGACAATAGTTTTTCATTTCTGGGACATTGAAAAGTATTTATTTAGACGAGCAGAAGGTTAATGAGGGATGATTTTAAAAGTAGTGACACATTGCATTCCATGTGTGCCGTATAATTATGATACGTGTATTAGAGAATAATGAATAGTTGTAAGCACTAATAAAATTGAAAGTCAAATTTGCTGTTTGAATAGTAAAATCACTAATGTATGATGTATTATCATTCTTGGTAAATTTTGGATCAGATTTTTTGATAACATAGTAAAAGAAAACAAGTCTTGATAAAACATTAACATTTCTTATTTATGCGGTGTTTAATGCGACTTTACTTCGTGAAGTCTTATCTAAAGCATTTAGTTTGCTTTGTTTATAAAGTCTTATTCCTGTTGTAATCTTTATTTTAAGAGAATTTCTTTCGAGCATTCCAAAGTCAATTGAATTCTCATATCAACAGTGACATGTTTTGATTTTCTAGTCAGCTTTTCGTTTCTATATGATATTTTCTCGATTGTGACTAACCGAATAATTCTTAAACAATATTCATTTTCAGAAAGTAATCATTGAATAATTGAAAGTTGAAAAGTTAGATTTTATGTGTTCAATCTTTCATGAAAACACATACATAGAACAGTTCCTTTCGGAATACTCCAATAACAGTCTAATAACTGAACTCAAATTTCAAGTTTGACACTACTGTCAAAAAAAAGGGTGAGAATAGCTACCACAATAGAGGTACTTTGATATTACTTAAGTCCTATTAAGTATCATCCGTATCGATGTATACATGATTCATTAAGTATACATCGAATCAATTCATAATACTATATTTATTATCTACTGGTCCCGGTTCCAGTGTACGTATTCTTACTGACTGACGAACTGTATAAACTGTTTTAATGTTTTATGAGTGACATCCCAGTGATGATTCAATTTTGTTAATTTTTTGTTTCTTAAATTCCAATGTGTGTGTCTGCTATGAAACCTTTTTTTTTTGTTGTCTTCTTTTACAAACTAACTGCAATCGATTATTATGATCTTCTTAATATGTATATAAAGAAGGTTTCTTCTAGGTGAAATTCTACAAGTTTATCTTTAATTCCTAGATAACATAGTATTAAAAAATTCTAACATTATCAACAAAACAAATAGTTTTTATTTAGTAACAAATGAAATTGGTTTAGTGAATTGATTTATTCAACATACAAGTGTATCATTATGGATTAATGAGAATGCTCTACCTAATATGTACGTGTTGATATGGAAATAATATGTTATCAACTTGTATCGAAAGATAATTTTTATGACATGCAAAATCTTCATAACTTGGTTTATCACTTAATATTCCTATTATATCAGGATCTTTAGCTTTTGATACTTGGCAAGAAATATATTTATTTCAAAAATTTATTTCTTCTGTATCGAACTCTTGTCAGATGGCTACAGTAGAAAAATGAAAAACATATAATCAATTATGATAACTTCATACACTTTCACCTGATCGTACAACATGCTGCAGTGATTTTAAATTTTATCATGATTATTGTATATGGTTAATTGTTGAAGCTACATTAGATCAATTCCTATATGTGCCGTATGATGTTATAATACAAACTAGAAATTGTTTTCAAGGTTTAAAACATGTATAAAAGACTTAAAGTTATTGACAAATTTATGAATAGACGAAAATAAGAGTAAAAAAATTTTAAAATTACCCTTCCTTGAAAAAACAGAAAGATCAAAATGCAAAAGAAAATGGAATAGTATTTGTAGTGTAATTTCCATTGTCTTTTTTTGTGGCCTATCGAAAGAAACTTAATATTGCCATTGCTAACGATAGAACCTTCTCAAATATCTCGTTCCGATTTTATTGATAATTTGCCTATAGATACTAAATAAAATTCTAACAAAAACTCTAAAAGGACTCGGCTTTCTATTGAGATTTGACTAAGCTGTCGAATTTTTTTCTAGAGGCTATAAGGTTTTAGAAAATTTGTATTTTCGAATTTTGATCTAGAACTTTGCACATTAAAAAAAACTCCACCAGATTACCTTGGATGTAGGTGTGAGTGTGGGTTATCTCAACAATATACTCACACTCACACCCTCAAAGGGTAAACATCGTATTTACTTTACAAAATAAATAGTAAATAATTTATTTATTGTTTACTAGTAAAGTCAAGATAAGGTCCTATCCTTGTTCTAAGCCAATAAGTAAAAGGCTGCTGTAGAAATGTAATGCAAAATAGATAGATTAAAAGAATCTTTATGTGATTAGTAAGAGCAACTACGACGTGTTTCACATCTGAATCCTGTAGGGGCTGTGCTAGCAGCTTTTATATTCATGTTTGCAGAAAATAATTCATAAATATTCGTGGTAATCTCTTGGAATGAAGTACCGGAGAATGAGCTAATTCATAGGTAGATGCATCCATGTGATGCTTTCCATAAAGTTTCTAGAATTTACTTTAGTATAATGTATGATTTCTCAATGACTAACTTTTAGAATGTTACACAAAAATCTGAAATTTTTTTTTTATATATTGCTCTTGATCCTTATGTAGTAAAGACATAAAACTCTTCAAAAGTGGTCTAAAATATGCTACATTAGTCCCAAAACAAGTATCGATAAAAAATATTTTCAATTTGTTTCGTGATGTCTTACAAAAAGTATATAGAGTCGTTCGTAGAGGAGATTCTAAAATGTCCAAGGTATTCATACTGGTAGGACTGCCGTTAACAATGTTGAAAAATTTTAGTTTTCTAAGAAAGGTCTAGTGTATTATTAGTTTCTCTGCTCACAGATTCCTTGAAAAGCCTTGAACATCTCAACCACAAATTCGATTCCATTCAGTTAAAATTCTTCGATTGACCACCTGAATGGTCGCCTTCTCTGTTCGCCTCAACCATGGCTACCTTGAGAAATAGCCCTAACAGCTGCATGAATATTGCTTAGAGTTTGCACTCAAATGTA